TGCCCCATTTCATCAGCAGTGGACATGTTTACAATCAGAGTCCTTTTTTATTCCCCAGACATTGTTTTGTGCAATTGTAACAAGATAATTAACCTTGACTTCATCTCTGTGTGATCATAGTCTCATTGTTCATCTGAATATAAGACATTCCTGTCACCGTAATTAGTAACTCTAAACTAGGCTGTAAATGAAGATTTTTTACAATGTTTGCATATTAGTTTACACTAGTAATGATGGAACAAGTTTGTTGACAAGTAGTTGTTTATAAAATTACATTTTCAACTCCTATGTGGTTTCATGTTTTAGCATGTCTACATCTCTCCTGTCTGTCCCACAGCCTTGCCAGACTATTTACCAGGTTTTCCATGACACAGTAACCAGGCTGATCCAGTATGGAGTTCTTTATGTGGCAGAGGTGAGTTTACAGGCCGTCAGCCACTGGACAAAAATAACAGATCATGGCGGTTAATGTCAGAAGTTGAATGTTTTGGGAAGGACTCTTAGCGATAGTTGCTATTGGGTAATGAAACTTTCAGATCCTCTGATCTGTTTTTGTACGTCAGGAGGACCAGGAGGAACTGAGCCCAAGCCCCACAGATGAGCCATGGCCCAAAAAGTTTGCTGAGCCCCTTTCCTGGAGAAGTGACGAAGAGGATGAGGACAGCGATTTTGGAGAGGAGCAGAGAGATCGCTACCTTAAGGTATACTTGGACCATTTGGAATTTTGCAGCCAACATAATCGCCACAACATTCACATTCACATCCAAACATCCACTGTTCACCATCAAAAATGACTTTATTTGACTTTTGGTCTGTTTGTGTTGTCTTTCAGGTGAGTGTTTCTGCAGAGCACCAGGAGTTCTTTGTCTTCCTTCAGCGGCTGCTCAGCCCGGTGCTGGAGGCCTACAGCGGGGCTGCGATCTTCGTCCACAGTCTGAGCCAGCCCATGGTCGAGTCCGACTACACCCAGAGGCTCTTCAGATACCTGCTCACACGCACAGAAAGAGGAGTGGCTGGTTATGGTAATATCCTAATATCGCCCACATACTGCATAATGTATTTAAAAAATAATTTAAAACTTCTCTAGTGTTACATCGCACTTGGAATTGAGAAAATTGCTAAAAATGAGAAAATGGTTTTTCCAGTCATGATTTTTTTTAGGTGCTTGGAATAAAGTCCAAAAGTAGAAGTAGTATTCACAAGAAAAATAAGAAATTACCATCAGATTAAAGAAGGATTTAGCTAGTGAAAATTTTTAAAAGTAAGATCCTGTCTCTGTTTTATGTATTTCAAGCACTTCTCTTTTCATTCAGGTGAAAGTGCAACTCATTATCTGGTTAAGAACACCGTGAGGACATTCAAGGAGCTCGGGGTAAGCATGTGTGCATTTGTATGTGTGTATTTGGGTGATGTGCAGAGTCCTCCAGCTGAACCTCCTGTTTTCTGTTTATTCTCCAGGTCCTAAAGGAAAGGAGAGAAAACAAGGTGACAACTCTGGAGCTAAGCAGCACCTTTCTACCTCAGGAAAATCGGAACAAACTCCTGCAGTACATCTTAGGTTTCACTCTGCTGTGACCGCGACGCGCGTCACCCAGCTCGGACCCCAGGCTCCTTCCAATAAAGGGCTTCTACTGGTTACTTCTAAACAGTCCCAGGTGCTACTCTGTGGAAAGCTTTACCAGGAAGTGCCTTCACGTAAAAGCAGCTAACTATCAGCTGTTAGTCGGAAGAGACTTGAAGCCAGTCTTCCCTTTCTTCTTCTTTTTTTTTTTTTTGGTTTCAGTCTCTGACTTCCTGTGTTAGAACCGCGCAGTTGATTTAACACGTGTATTGAAGGGGTCCCTCTAGGAATCATTCGTTGTGAACTTTGCAGGAGAAGTCAAAAGGTTTTAATATGGGAAAAAAAATTTAACCGTGCAGTCTGAACAAAGCAAAGCTGCCTTTTGTCTATACAAGTGAACAAGTAAAATATGCATATAAAATAACTGTAAACATAACCAACAACAGAGGCATTTTTATGTTAACTCTTTGTGCTTGTTTATAAAGTTGCCGTATTCTCTCCAGTGCACTCTAATATCTTACAGTTTAAAATGTGTTGCCTGTACATAGAGCGTAGAACAACTTCGTTTATAGTGCACTGAAATTATTACACTCTGGTGTAATTAAAGAGAAGAGTTCGCTGTACTCCGAGAGATACAGTGCACCTGCAAATTGTGTACATATCCAAGGTTTCAGTGGCAAAATGTATGAATTTAAATCTCCATACAGTGAAGGTCAGTTATTTCTAGTTGCTGTTTTTTTTTTTTAGATAAAAACAATCAGTGTGCAGTTTGGCCCATGAACAATATTTACTTAGCGAATGCAATACGTACCTGTTGAAAGTCTGGCGTAGTCAAGGCCTAAAACAATGTCCACCTACAGTTAAGTGCATTCAAACCACTAATATCTAAGTGCATTCACTTACACTTTTCATATGAAAAGTGACTTTGATCTCTTTTCTTTTTGCAGAGCACCTCACTTTTCGATGAATGTTACACAGCACAGCACTTAAAGTAATGAATACCAGCCATCACACCCACTTTTATTCTAATAACAACACGCTCAGACACTCTGTGACATGCCTTTCAGGGAAAGCAGATATTTGGGATTTCCACCTTTTTTTCCTTCTTCTTCTTCTATCATAAACACGCTGTATAGCCTTTATAGCATTGCTGCTGAAAGAGCAATAGTTGGGCATTTGTGAGTTAAAATTGCTGCATAGTGTGGTAAAATAGTGCAGTTCTTTTGAACAGTTGGCTAATTATGAGTGCAGTATAGTGTTCTCTTTACAGACCTCTGCAAGGTCAAAAACAAACAGGAAACAGAAAAAATGCAGTCATCCAAAACTTCCGGGTTAAATTATTATTTTTTCATGTTAGATATACCAATGGAATTTTAAATTCCATCATTAGTTACATTCTTTAATAAAATCAATCTTACACTGACTTACATTATGATAGAGTTTAGGCTACTAGTAACTAGATATTACCTATTCTTCTTCTTCTTCTCATTATTATTGTTATAGTTGCATTTACACATTTAAGTGTTTCAGTGTTGGAATCAAAAAGTCAGATTATGTCTGACTGTGAAATTTTAAAAACATGAACAAAAAGCGAAGTGGCTGAAGTTAAAGTACAATGGTGAAACAACACAGCATTGTGCATTTGGCTGCGAGTTTCTAATTCTGTTGTAAAGTAACTTGATAACACAAAGTCGATCAAGTCAATATTTAGTGTGTCTTTCAGTTTCAGTTTGCAGTGAACATGAATATAAACGTACACCACTCCTCTTCTTGATGGAAAAAAAAGAGGAAGCAGCAAGTTTGAAACGAAGTGTAATGAATTGCCATCATTATTGAATGATCGTGAGGACATTGTTGATGCGTCAGGGCAATACAAGAATTGGGACCTTTAAATAAATATTTCTATTGGGAAATACGTGTGATAATTCAACACTTCTTGTTACAGGTCATTGTAATGTTTATTTTTCATATTTTTCTAAACTTGTAAATGAAAAAAAAGTTACATTTTGGTGAAAGACACCTAAAGCATGTGGAAGAACAGAAGAGTATGTTACTGAAACAAGAATGTGCTCTGAGAGTGTCACGAGCTTTCTAGCATTTCTGAGCCCTCGGTCTGTACAAGTCTCCTCACCAGGGGACCCATCTGCCATGATCCAACCACTATACGTACTGTACTGCATGTTTCCTCTGGTCGCCTTTAATCATCGGCACTTCAATGTGAACTCTGCTCAACCTGATAATAATGGTCTTTTACAGCCTTACCGCTGTGTATGTCGTGTAAGTTGTGTTGATGAAAGCGAGCTGTATGTGTAGAAGATTAATTGTGTTACCTCTTGAATGTTATCTAAAAAGGTCATTGTGGTATTGTCAAATACTCGATGGACGTGGTACAGATTTATAGTTTTTAATGAACTGCTTGTGGGATACTGAAGCTGCATTAACCACATCCCACTACTCTGTATAATGTAGGATAAATGCCTGTATCTGGGAAGCAGGTGCCTTTTTAATGCACTGTAGTATTCTTTTGTTGTTTGTTTTTCTTGTTGTTTTTTTTTTGTGCATGTTAATAATTTTGGGAATCCAAAAGAACACTGTAGATGGTAACTTGGGGAAAAAAAATACACAAGTTGAGAGAAGTTAGGATCACCAGCTACTAAAAATATGTCACTTTTCTTTTTGCTTTATTGAAGCAAAGCACAATTGGCATTGTTAGATTTTGTTTTTAAATAAATTAATGATAGATTAGTGATGGTGTTGCCTTTTTATTTCTTCTATTATATCTAAAAAGCATTTTGTGAGTGGATTATTTTTCTGGTGTGTGAAAGGGGCAAAAGGTTATTATAGTTAACTAATGCTTAAATAAAAGTGAGTTAGGAATGGTAACTTATCAGTAACTGCAATGAAAAATTAAATAAGAATAAACTATAGTCGTGTTAAAGAGAGAATACACCATATTTTAGTTTCAAAGTTCAACAGGTCAATTATTTAAATACAACCTCAGATGAACAACAGCGTGACTTATTACACTGTGCATGAAACACTAAGTACATCCCATCACTCAGTAGCTTGTAGAACAAACTATTATTACCAGGACAGATTTTAAAAAGCTGACTATATTCAGTACATACGGGAACATAAACCCAAAGATAAACAAGCAGACACAGTTAACTGTAGGTGGTAGGTTATTGTTCATTACTGTACTTCTAACAGCTGCTTCTGACATGACAATTTCTCTCTGCAAAACATTAATATCTTTCAGTTTTCTGTAGTATTTGGACTGAAAATAACTCACAGTATGTCCAAAAGAAGTAAAAGGCGATCAAATGATGCAAACACATTATTAGCACATTAGAGCTAATTTTGTTTATTTATTTCTAAAGAGATCAAACTGCTAACTAAATAAATAAATACATTAAATTCTCTGGTTGCAGATCTGGGAATGTGGCAACTTTTGATGCATCTGTCTGTTTGTACAGACGACATTATGTGTCAGGCTGAAGAAGGAGGGAGGCTTGCTTTGTTAGGCCCATGGGAGGATGCGAGGAGGATATATAGTGGATCGAGACCATGCGAAGCCTTAGTGGCAATGAGGACCAAACAGAGGCGACAGGTGTGCATTCTTCTACCGAACAAGCAGCACCTGGATTGTGCTGTCACGGTGAGTGACCACAGGTCCTTTCTGTAGCATATTTTCTTGTTTGGTATTTTACTGTGACACGTCACATGGACACACAGAAACCTAAATTACATTCATGTTAAGATTGCATTGATCTGTCAGTAGGGTATATTTATTTTTAAAACAGTGGAAGAGCTAAAACTGTATTTTATTAGAAAAAAACATTTGCAAGAAAGCCAAAACACTGAAAGCACGGACTCTCAGTATGTTTTATGTTTTCTTTCTTCTTCCTGTGTGTTTATAGGTAAAAGCCAGAGGCCGTGAGGTGTTGAACAGTGTGTTGAAGCATCTTGGTGTCAGTGATCTCCAAGTGTTTGGTCTAGCTGTTATGAAAGGTCAGTTAGTTTCTGCGCGGGAGTTCAGGAGCAAATGTTTTTTATTCATTAACTGTGGAACGCTGAGATTCTGGGAGGCTGCTGATAGTGAGTGAACCTGCTGTAAGATATGATAAATGGAAAGCCATCTCCTATCAGCCATAAACAACATTACTGAGGGATAACACGTGTTAAATGGACTCATTGTGTCGATTTCATGCAGCGCCGTCAAGCATATGGTTTGCAGGACAAATATGGCCAAAACTGAGTTACTTTACTTGAGCGTGCAAGTTATGTCGAATTTTTTCTTCCTATTTTTTCACTCTTTCCTGTACAGCATGAAGTGTTGTGTCAGGAGCTAACCTACCTCAACTGTTAATTTTGCCGCCCTACCGAGAAGTGTGAAATATGGTCGGTTTCATGGCTGTTCATAGATGCGGTTCTTTGATTAAGACAGTTGCAGTTCTTTTTAAGGACAGCAGATTTATTGAATGTGGAAAAACTGAGACATATTGTTCAAATTGCACTCACTATCTAAGACACACCAGCTAGTTTGTGATCCCATAAGTGTGAATGTTTTAAAAATGTATTTGTTCTTCTTCAGAGCAAACGCAATGGAAACAATAGGCCTTAGTACTGCTAGGTTGTTAGTCAATATTTTTACTTTTCTGGGCCACATGGTGCGAAACTGAGCTGTATGTAGACCCTAAAGTGAGCCTGACATCTCTGATTGAATGTGTGCTTTTTTTTCCTTTTTTTAAGATAATGATTACCTGTTTCTTGATTTGGATCAAAAGCTGAGCAAGTACTTTGGGAAACGATGGAATAAAGGATCTTTAATGGTTAGTTTTCCATTTCTTTTTTTGGTGTAGTGTTTGCACTGTTGAAACAGAAATCACCAGATCTACAAACAGCTCCATGCTGTAATGGGAACACTCTAAAAGCTGAATTTAGTGATCTCACTTAAAATTTCATGTTTTCCTGGTTTAATTGGCAGTCATGATGATTTGCATATCAATAATCTCAAGTAGATCTTGTGGCTCATTGTTATGCACTGGTGCTGATTTCAGTAGCTGTTTACAAGACTGGGGAAACCTGCAACAGATAAGACTGAAGGTGTTGCTTGTATGAGTACTAAGATGTTTCTCCCAGTGAAAACACTATATCCAGATAAAGTCCACCAATGGACTAACATGTCAAACATGTTAGAAAGATCTGGCTTATTTTAAAAATTATTTTATGTCCATGTTTTTTGTTTGTTTTAATGATTTATCATATTGGTCAAATATTAACTAGACTGTGTAATAGCAGAAACGATAAACTGAGTACTCTCTTTACTCATTCCACCTTTCCAGGTCCCGTTTATCTTATTTCTAAGAGTCCAGTATTATGTAGAAAGTGGGCTGCTGATTTTGTAAGTTTGTTTTCCATTACCTTCTTTTTCCAAGATTAATAATTTCCACTATAAGTGTTGTTAAAGTTTATGAAAATATTTGTGGAAAATCTGACTCAACCTGACAGACTTCATAACAGGAAAAGAAAACCTCCCTGTTTCTTGCAGGAGCACCACAATGCAGCAGCTCTACTACACTGAGCTGAGGCAGAAGGTGCTGCGTTCACAGAGCCACCATCAGGAGGCTTTGTTCTTCCAGCTGGCAGCCTCTGCCCTCCAAGCTGACATTGGCGATCTGGCACAGGGAGAGGAGACTGAGGAAGATGGAGAAGAGAAGAAGCAGGAGAGAAAACACAGATGCTACTTTCTCCCTGAAGATTACTTCCCCTCATGGGTAAAAAAAAAAAAAGAAAGAAAAAGAAGTGTAGTCTAACCTTGACAGAAATACTATTATATATATATCTGTGTGTTCATCTTCTCAGCTCATAAAGCGCAGAGGGAGAGAGTACTTACTTCAGCACAGCCCAGTGCTGCATGGTGAGCTGAGGGGGGTGTCCCGCAGGCAAGCCATCCTGCACTTTATAAAGGAAGCCAACGGGCTGCAGGATGGACCTGTCACATTCTACAGGATGAGAGAGGTCAGACAGTGTTACAGTTAAACAAGGACGAACTCTGTGTGAGGATGTCTGTTTCTTAATTAGTTTAAGAGAGACTGACTAAGAAACTTCTGTCCTGAGATGTTGAATATGGAGCTACCAGGCAGTTAAAAGGAAAAGGAAAAGAGGTCACATATATCAGACACTCCATAAACGTGTACATTTCAGAAAATCTTCAGAAAAATATCCTACAGGGTGTGAAAACTGTTACAGATCTCGTAAAAAGCCCCAGTAATAATCCTTTGGCATGCTCTTGTATTATTTGTCTCCCTTGGTCATTTTAGAGAACTCTTTTTGAGTCATGTTTGTTATATGAGCCCATGGCTTAAAAAACAACAACAAAAAAACTGCTTTATCAACTATTATTTTACACACAGGAGGACAAACAGCCGAGGAGTTTAATCCTCCTCGGTGTGACAGTGAAAGGAGTCCATATTTGCCAGGTGAGTCGTTTTCAATGACAGTCTCACACATAATTTTAAATAAAGTTTATGAACTTATTTTCACATGTACATATAGATTCTTGATCTGAATTTGTGTTTTTTAAGGAGGTGGAAGAGAAACAATCTTTGTTGTACGATTTCTCCTGGACAGGTATTGATCGCTTCACCTTTCAGGTTAGGTTCTAAAGACTGGACTATAATCAAAATATACATACAATAAAGGTCACATTGACCTGCATGTAGCTTTAACCGTAACACACGAGATCATCCTCTTTATGTATGCCTCTTACTTTTCAGGGCAACAGGTTTGAAATCACTGCTGTGGGCTCTTTGTGCCTTCCTAAACTGGTTTATTACACTAAATCAGCTTTCCACTCTAAACACATCCTGAGGCACCTCCGTGACAGTCACCAACTCCACATGAACATCAGAAATGCAGTCAGTTACATCCAACAGCTGGAAAACATGGGTAGTACGTAAGGCTTTACTTTACCACAACCTATCTAAGACACGGCTGAGTCAGTTGTCTTGGTCTGAAACCAATATCATGTAATAGTAATAACAATAAGTCTTTTAAGTGATTTTAAAAGATTTCACACTCCGAAGGTGTTCTCTTTTCTGTCTTTCTTCAGCCAAAGAAGCCTACATCTGCGACACAGCGTGCCTAAGAAAGAGTCTCCAGTGCAGCAACCTCACATCTTCAATGTCCAATTGCAGTGATGCACTGGAAACAGCTACTGCCTGGTTTAAAGAGGAAAAGGAAGAGGACGGAAGCTCTACAACAGGTCTGCTTTTGGGAGGAAATGTTTGTGTAGATGGTGCAACATTTGCCTCTCAAACAAATTGTGCATTTATGTTTGGAAACTGGTAAAAATACGTTTAATTCTACCCAGCAATGGTTGACAGCAGTAGGTCTGCAGACCTAATTAAGGAAGAAAACAGCTGATGTTGCTGAAGTGGCAGAGAGGGAAAGTTTAAAAGCTCATTAGGCAAATGAAAGCAGAACTACTTTCTTAACTTACCTGTCGTACCGTTGCCTTGAACTCAAAATCAGTTGTTTGTTTACACTGATGCCAGAGTCTGAGCTGTGGTTGGACGAATCAGAGGAGTTGTTTGTTGATGATCCAGCTGAGGTGTCCTGGCTGGCTGAGCTGCTCCATGGTGTGTCTGTCGACGCTCCTTTGATGTTACCCTCTTTTTGCTGGGCAGGTTAGTCCAAAAACCACTAAGACCATTCTAAAATAACAGTTTAATCATGTGTTAGTTCTGTGTAGCATGTGATATTGTGTCCTCTTTTATCAGCTGTCACCATGGAAATGAAACAGGTGAGCAAACTGCAGGTCTGTCTGTTTGAACATTTCCAGCATGATCCTGCATCAAAGCCAACATCATTCTCTGTGATCTTCAGGTTCTGTGGAAAAAAACGGATGAAGGGATGTCTGTGGACTAATTTAGATTCAGAGGATGCAGGGATTCATCACCCGTTCTTCATCTCAAGACAAGGAGACACCTGTTGGAGTTTGTTGTTATGGAGCTAAAATGCTGAAAGGATACAGCTATATTTTGTTTGCTTAGAGGAAACCT